TTGAGAGGAGTTCAGGGGGGATTTGGGGGGGTCTGAGAGGGGTTTGAGGGGATTTGGGGGAGATTTGGGGGGATTTTGGGGGTCTGAGAGGGGTCTGAGTGGGATTTCGGGGGGTCTGAGAGGGGATTTTGGGGGGTTTTGGGGACGTTTTGGGGGGCTCAGCGGGATTTGAGGAGGATTTCGGGGATCCCAAAAGATTTGGAAAAAGTTTTGGGGCGAATTTCGGGATCTGGGGCTGATTTTGGGGTCCCCCCTCACCCCAATTTCTCCCCCCTTAGGGCGGGACCGGCTTCGCTGGGGCCGGGGTCTCCCTGGAAGCCAAAAAATCCCGGCCGGTGATGCAGGCCTAGAAGAAACCCCAAAATATCCCAAAACCACCCCAAAAATCCCCCCCAAAATCCCTTTTACCCCCCCAAAAAACCCCTCTGAAAACCCCAAAACTCATTTCTTCCCCCAAAATAAACTTTTTCCACCCCAAAATAAAATTCTCTCCTCTTCCTGAACCTCCTAAAATTTCTGGGACCCCCCCAAACCTCGGGGATTTGGGGAATTTTGGGGAATTTTAAGGATTTTTGGGGCGTTTCCCTTTTAATTCCCCTCTCGGTGGGGCCCGCGCGTTGCCGCTTTAAGCCACGCCCCCTCCCGCGCCTCAACCAATCAGCGCTCAAAACGCGAACGTCATTTATTGGCAAAAAGGGGGGCGTGGCCTCGGCGGGCAGCACCCAATCAGCTTTGGACAAAAATAAAGGGGGCGGGGCCTCCAAGCCCCACCCACATCTGGTACAAAATAAAGGGGGGCGCGCCAAATTCGGAGCTGTCAATCAAACTCCGCGTGGCTCCGCCCCCCCGTTTTAAGCCACGCCCCTTAAAGGGGAACCCCCCCCCCGTTTTTTGGGGAGGGGTCCCCAAATTTTTTGTGCAAATTGGGGAGGGGGGAAGGGGGGAGGGGAGGGACCCCCCCCCAAAATAAGACACTTGGTGGGGGGAGGGGCTCCCCCCCAAAAATTTTGGGGGTCCCCCCCACCCCCCACTGAGATTTTTTGGGGACCCCTCAAGGATTTTTGGGGGACCCCCCCCCCATTTTTTGTTGTTCAAACCCCCCAAATTTTGGGGGAAATCCCCGAATTTGAGCCAAAAATCCCAAATTTTTGGGGTGAAAACTCCAAATTTCGAGAAAAAATCCCCGAAATTCAGCTGAGAATCCCAAATTTTTGGGGACAATTCCCAAATTTCTGCAGAAAATCCCAAATTTTTGGGGTTAAACCCCCAAATTTTGCAGGAAAATCCCCAAATTTTATCTGAAAATCCCGAATTTTTGGCATGGAAATCCCAAATTTTTGGGGTGAAAACTCCAGATTTCTGCAGAAAACTCCAAATTTTGGGGAAAATTTTGGTTCCTTTCTTGGGTTTTTTGGGGGGGATTTTTTTCTGTAAATTTTGAGATTTTTGGGGATTTTTCTTTCAATTTTAGTTCTTTTTTTTGAGGTCATTTTAAGGCAACTTTTCTACAGATTTTGGAAATTTTTTCTCATTTTTCTGTAAATTTTGATTCCTTTTTTGAGCTTTTTTTTTTAGCTGATTTTCCCATAAATTTTAGATTTTTTTTCGATAATTTCCTTAAAAAATCCCCTTTTTTTTTTCTTTTTTCAACTATTTCCCCCATTTTTTCCCCTTTTTTCCCCCTTTTGGATTTTGAGAATTTTTCTGCAGATTTTGGGATTTTTTGGGGATTTTTCTGTAAATTTTGGTTGTTTTTTTGAGGATTTTTCTGTAAATTTTGGTTGTTTTTTGGGGGATTTTTCTCTAAATTTTGGTTGTTTTTTTGAGGATTTTTCTGTAAATTTTGGTTGTTTTTTGGGGGATTTTTCTCTAAATTTTGGTTGTTTTTTTGAGGATTTTTCTGTAAATTTTGGGGTTTTTTTTGGGGATTTTCCTTCCAATTTTATTTTCTTTTTTGGATTCATTTTAAGGCAATTTTTCTACAGATTTTGGGATTTTTTTCTGATTTTTCTGTAAATTTTGGTTGTTTTTTTTCGGATTTTTCTCTAAATTTTGGGTTTTTTTGGGGGATTTTCCTTCCAATTTTATTTTCTTTTTTGGATTCATTTTAAGGCAATTTTTCTACAGATTTTGGGATTTTTTTCTGATTTTTCCGTAAATTTTGATTCCTTTTTTTAAACCGATTTCCCCATCAATCTCAGCAAATTTCCTTAAAAAAATCCCGTTTTTTTCCCCTTTTTTTCCCCTTTTTTCCCCCCTTTTGGATTTTGGGGAATTTTTTGGGGGTCCCCAGCGGGTTTTTGGGGGTCACTGGGGGTCTCCTGCCAGCAGCCGGGGTCGGGGGAGGTCCCCAAACATTTCGGTTCCGTCGCCCCCTCCCCGCAGCGCCAGGGCTCTCATGGAGGCCGCGATTCGCTCCAGGTCCGGGGGGGCCTGGGGGACACAAAATTTGGGCTTTTTTGGGAGGTTCTGAACCCTAAAATTATCCTAAATTATCCCAAAATTATCTTAATTAATCCCCCAAAATTATCCTAAATTATCACAAAAATATCCTAAATAATTCTCAAAATAATT